CAGACACAGTAACTTAATAAAAGTTCAGACAGACAGAAATAGTTCTAGCGGTAGGGTTGTTAAATGTGGTTTAATGAACGTCAGATCAATCTCGTCTAAATCGCTTCTCATAAACGAACTTATTATAGACAAGGGCTTGGATCTGTTTGCGCTCTCGGAGACTTGGCTCCAACAGGACGACTACGTTAGATTGAATGAGTGCACTCCTCCGACGCATGTTAACTACCAGAAAGCCAGAACTACAGGTCGCGGCGGTGGTGTTGCGATTATATCACACACCAACTTAGTTCTTAGTCCCAAAACCAACAACGCTTTTCACTCGTTTGAAAACTTAACACTTTCAATCACCTGTCCTGGGTGGAGAAAACAAAAAGCAGTACTATTTATAGTTTTATACCGACCTCCTGGTCCTTACAGCGAGTTCCTAACAGAATTCTCTGACTTCATTTCAAACCTAGTTTTGGAATGGGAAAACATAGTTATAGCTGGAGACTTCAATATACATGTGGACGACAGCACTGACAGCTTAAACAAAGCTTTCAGCGCCGTACTAGATGGTGTTGGTTTTACTCAGAATGTCGAGGAACCTACTCACATTCATAACCACACCTTGGACCTTGTCCTGACCTACGGCTGTGATGTCTCCAATGTTGACATCCAGCGTCAAAGCTTGTTGCTGTCTGACCATTTCTTGATCACGTTTGATCTCGCTTTGGAGGACTAAGATAAAACCATAATGAAAAGAACCTTAAATGATAAATCTATCACAAGGTTCAAAGAACTAATACAGCCTATGTTGAATACTGCTGCAGGTGAACCTGTTCACAGCAGCTGCAGTCCCTCAGTCATTGACCAAACGGTGGGCAACACTATGGAGTCTTTAAAATCTGCATTAAATGCAGCAGCTCCTTTGAAACAGAAAACCATTAGGATTAGATCATCGTCGCCCTGGTACAGTGTTCAACTCCACACTTTAAAACAGGACGTCAGAAAATTGGAGAGGCTATATCGCCACTCCCACTCGGAGCCTGTCCACAGGGAGTGGAAAGCAGGTCTCCGAAACTACAAGAAGGCCCTTCGCGGGGCTCGAACTCAATACTATTCAACTTTAATAGAAGCGAATAAAAACAACAGTAGATTTTTGTTTGGTACCGTCGCTAAACTCACAAACTGCCATAGCGCAATCGAGCCTAAAATTCCAAGCTCACTGAGCAGTGTCGACTTTCTCCACTTCTTTAATAATAAAATTACATCCATCCGTGACAAGCTGGAGGAGGTTGCTCCTGCTGTTAGTGGTGGACAGGTTGAAGCGGCATACGTGACTTCCCACTTAGACTCTTCAGTGGGCCTTAATAAATTCATGGCTGTGAGCCAAGCAGAGGTGATCTCTGTGGTCACATCCTCAAAAGCCTCAACTTGCATGTTAGACGCAGTCCCGACATGGCTCTTCAAAGACATACTTCCTTTGATAATTGAGCCTATCGTAAATATAATAAACGCATCCATACAATGTGGCTATGTCCCACAAGCTTTTAAAACCGCGGTAATCAAACCCCTTCTGAAGAAAACAAACCTGGACCCAGAAATACTTACAAACTACAGACCGATCTCAAACCTCACTTTTATATCTAAAATCCTGGAAAAACTTATAGCTGAGCAGCTTCGCTGCCACCTGCAGGAAAATAATATGTTTGAAGTCTTTCAATCAGGATTCAGAGCTCATCATAGCACTGAAACGGCACTAGTCAAAGTCACAAATGACTTACTACTAGCTGCCGATAATGGACAAGTGTCAGTGCTGGTCCTACTGGACCTTAGTGCTGCATTTGACACAATAGACCACAGCATTCTACTGCAGAGGCTAGAATGTGATATAGGTCTTAGAGGAACAGCCCTTGGCTGGTTTAAATCCTATTTATCAGATCGATATCACTTCGTCAATGTGAATCAGGACTCGTCGCCTTATTCTGGAGTGGAATTCGGTGTGCCGCAGGGTTCGGTACTCGGACCGATTCTTTTTACTCTCTACATGCTGCCACTGGGAAACATTATTAAAAAGCATGGAATTAATTTCCACTGCTATGCAGATGACACACAGCTTTATCTGTCGATGAAGCCTAATCAGACAGATCAGCTAGAAAAGCTCAGTGCTGCATAAAGGACCTTAAAATGTGGATGACTCTTAACTTCCTACTTCTCAACCCGGAGAAGACAGAAGTGATCCTACTCGGTCCGAAGCGCCTGCGTGACTCCCTCACTAACCAGATGGTTACTCTCGATAATGTCAGTATAATACCCAGTAACACTGTGAGGAATCTTGGAGTCATTTTTGACCAAGAACTCTCCTTCAAGGCTTATATAAGCCAAGCAACTAAAACGGCGTACTTCCACTTACGGAACATCGCTAAAATTAGGAATTTCCTTCCTAAAAGTGACGCGGAAAAACTCATTCACGCGTTTGTCACCTCAAGGCTCGACTACTGTAACGCTTTACTGGCAGCGTGCCCTAAAGCCTCTTTGAAGAGCTTCCAGCTCGTTCAGAATACAGCAGCTAGGATATTAACAGGTACCAAAAGGAGGGAGCACATAACTCCGGTGTTAAAATCACTCCACTGGCTCCTGTGGAGTACAGAATAAAGTTTAAAATCCTACTCTTAACATATAAAGCCATAAATGGCTTGGCTCCTTCTTATCTCCAAGACACGTTAGTGTCGTATCAACCAAGTCGAGCGTTGCGCTCACAAAACGCCAGACGTCTGGTGGTCCCTAAGGTCTCAAAGGTCACTGTTGGCGGCAGAGCATTTAGCTACCAAGCTCCTTTACTGTGGAATCAGCTTCATTTATGTTAAGGAAGCAGATACGGTCTCCACATTCAAGGCCAGGCTTAAAGCACTTTACTTTAATTTAGCATATAATTAGGTAATATATAATATGTAGTGTATATATTATATATATATGCTGTATTATGTTATATATTATGTTATATATTATTCAATAATGTATTGTGTTATGTTGTATATTATGTTATATATTATGCTGTATGTTATTCTTTATTCAAGGCTAGGTTTAAAACAGTCCTCTTTAGTTTAGCATATGGCTAGGAAGGTAAGACTCGGAGAAGGTTAAACTCCTCAGAGTGTTAGTCAAGCTGCATAGGGAGTCAGTTTGCTGGGAGAAGTATGGTAACTTGAGCACTATCCTCTCCTCCTTCCTACTTTATCTGTTTAGCATTTTTAGGATTCTGACTGTAGTTTGTTCATTGCTATTCACCCGTTGTCCCATTGTCTGTTTCATGGTACGATGACGGGATCTCTGAGCCTGGCCTCCTCCATCTACACCTGCGGACTGCCCCGCCCGACCCGCCTGGGAGTGCTTCGGTCCTGCACCTGTCCACGTTCAGCGTCCACTGGTCCACGTTCTGTAGCTAGCTTAGGTCCTAGATCATTAGTCTGTCCGTCCGGAGGAGCGGATCCCTTTCTCATATGGGTCTCCCTCCCTGTGGGTTTCCCTAGTTCTCCTCCAAGGTTTCTCACTTTTTCCCACTGGGTTTTTTAAGAGTTGTTCCTTGTGGATGCAGGAGGGTCTTGTTGGACAGTTAGTGTCCAACAGAAAGGATTGGTGATGATCAGGACACTTTAGCATTCTACAACATGTATGGACATTTTCTTCTGTGTGTGCTTTATATTCTTCATGTGTTTTAACTGTTGATTCTCTGACCTGTGTTGGTGATTTCAATGGTTTTGTTAAGTCTCTGAGATGACTTCTGTTGTGACCTAGGGCTATACAAGAATACATTCTATTGTATTGTATTGTATTGTAAAGCTAGATTTTAGACTAGCTTCTTTATTATGCTAAAGCTAGATTTATACTAGCTTCTTTATTATGCTAAAGCTAGATTTATACTAGCTTCTTTATTATGCTAAAGCTAGATTTATACTAGCTTCTTTATTATGCTAAAGCTAGATTTATGCTAGCTTCTTTATTATGCTAAAGCTAGATTTATGCTAGCTTCTTTATTATGCTAAAGCTAGATTTATACTAGCTTCTTTATTATGCTAAAGCTAGATTTTAGACTAGCTTCTTTATTATGCTAAAGCTAGATTTATGCTAGCTTCTTTATTATGCTAAAGCTAGATTTATACTAGCTTCTTTATTATGCTAAAGTTAGATTTATACTAGCTTCTTTATTATGCTAAAGCTAGATTTATACTAGCTTCTTTATTATGCTAAAGCTAGATTTATACTAGCTTCTTTATTATGCTAAAGCTAGATTTATACTAGCTTCTTTATTATGCTAAAGCTAGATGTTATACTAGCTTCTTTATTATGCTAAAGCTAGATTTATACTAGCTTCTTTATTATGCTAAAGCTAGATTTATACTAGCTTCTTTATTATGCTAAAGCTAGATTTTATATTAGCTTCCTTATTATGCTAAAGCTAGATTTATACTAGCTTCTTTATTATGCTAAAGCTAGATTTATACTAGCTTCTTTATTATGCTAAAGCTAGATTTTATACTAGCTTCTTTATTATGCTAAAGCTAGATTTATACTAGCTTCTTTATTATGCTAAAGCTAGATTTTAGTCTAGCTCTGTTTTTGATCACTGGGGATTTCAATCACGCGAACCCCCAAACTGTGCTTCCCACATTTACCCAGTACATCAACTTTCCCACAAGAGACAATAGAACTTTGGACCTCTTCTTTGCAAATGCCACAGGGGCATACAACCCAACCGCCCCCCCCCCCCCCCCCCCCTCGGCTGCTCTGACCATAACATCGTGCACCTGAGGCCTGTGTATGCGCCCATTGTACACCGAGAACCAGCCACTCCTCGGCTGGTCCAGAGGTGGACTGTGGAGTGTGAAGACAGGCTGAGGGACTGTTTTAACTGCACTTTGTGGGACGAACTGTGCGACCACGGGGACGACATCAATGCCATCACGGAATGCATAACTGATTACATCAACTTCTGCTGTGAAATCGCTGTGCCTTCCAAGATGGTACGATGCTTCTCCAACAATAAGCCGTGGATGAACATTGAGATTAAGGCCCTGCTGAAGGAGAAGAAGAGGGCCTTTCTATCAAAGGACAAACAGGCACTGAAGGAGGTACAACGGAGACTGAGGCTGAGCATCAGGACTGCTAAGGCTCGCTACAAGAACAGGATGGAGGAACAGCTGAGCCAACAGAATGTGGCAGGGGTTTGGAGGAGCCTGAAGACCATCTCGGGCTTCGAAACACCCCCTGTCCGGCCTGTGGGGGACCCCCAGTGGGTTAATGATCTAAACCAATTTTTCCTGCGGTTTGATCAGAGACCCCCCCCCCCCCCCCCCCCTCAGACACAGATACTCACCCAGCCCTCCCCTTTCTTTCACACCTGCTCAAGTGAGAGGTGTGATGAAGAAAATCAAGACCAGGAAGGCGGCGGGACCAGACCATGTGAGCGCCAGGCTCCTCAGCTCATGCGCAGACGAACTGTGCACAGTTATGGGGCACGTCTTCAACATGAGCCTCCGCCTGAGGTCGGTACCACAGATCTGGAAGACCTCCTGTGTGGTACCAGTGCCCAAGAAACCACGGGCCAAAGACCTCAGCGACTTCAGGCCAGTGGCTCTAACATCCCACTGCATGAAGACACTGGAGAGACTGGTCCTGGGACATCTCCGCTCCACTCTGAGCCCAGCGATGGACCCGCTGCAGTTCGCCTACAGGCCGGGCATCGGAGTCGAGGACGCCATCATCTCCCTCCTCCATCGCTCGCTGTCCCACCTTGAGAAACCCGGCTCCACAGTCCTCGCACCGTTCATCTTCACCCTCTACACTGCGGACTTCAGACACAACACGGACGGTTGTGTTCTACAGAAGTTCTCTGACGACTCTGCCATCATCGGACTCAGCTCCGAGGACGATGACACAGAGTACAGAGGAGTTATACAGGACTTTGTGGACTGGTGTCAGCGGAACCACCTCCTCATCAACGCGGGGAAGACCAAGGAGATGAACCACCTCCTCATCAATGCGGGGAAGACCAAGGAGATGAACCACCTCCTCATCAACGCGGGGAAGACTAAGGAGATGAACCACCTCCTCATCAACGCGGGGAAGACTAAGGAGATGAACCACCTCCTCATCAACGCGGGGAAGACCAAGGAGATGAACCACCTCCTCATCAACGTGAGGAAGACCAAGGAGATGAACCACCTCCTCATCAACGTGAGGAAGACCAAGGAGATGAACCACCTCCTCATCAACGTGAGGAAGACCAAGGAGATGAACCACCTCCTCATCAACGTGAGGAAGACCAAGGAGATGAACCACCTCCTCATCAACGCGAGGAAGACCAAGGAGATGAACCACCTCCTCATCAACGTGAGAAAGACCAAGGAGATGAACCACCTCCTCATCAACGTGAGGAAGACCAAGGAGATGAACCACCTCCTCATCAACGCGGGGAAGACCAAGGAGATGAACCACCTCCTCATCAACGCGAGGAAGACCAAGGAGATGAACCACCTCCTCATCAACGCGGGGAAGACCAAGGAGATGAACCACCTCCTCATCAACGCGGGGAAGACCAAGGAGATGAACCACCTCCTCATCAACGTGAGGAAGACCAAGGAGATGAACCACCTCCTCATCAACGTGAGGAAGACCAAGGAGATGAACCACCTCCTCATCAACGTGAGGAAGACCAAGGAGATGGTGGTGGATTTCCGCAGACGTCACTCTGCCGCTCCAGCTCCAGTGAACATCCAGGGAAAGGACATCGAGAGAGTGGACTCTTACAAGTACCTGGGTGTTCATCTGAACCACAAACTGGACTGGACTCATAACACAGACTCCCTCTTCAAGAAGGGCCAGAGCCGGCTCTACCTACTGAGAAGGCTCAGGTCTTTTGGAGTGCAGGGGCCACTCCTGAAGACCTTCTATGACTCTGTGGTGGCATCAGCCTCTTGTACGGTGTGGTCTGCTGGAGCAGCAGCATCACAGAGAGGGACAGGAAGAAGCTGGAACATCAGGAAGTCCAGCTCAGTCCTGGGCTGTTCCCTGGACACAGTGCAGCAGGTGGGGGACAGGAGGGTCCTGAGCAAACTAACATCTATGCTGGACCATGACTGTCGCCCCCTGCAGGACACTCTCTCTGCTCTGGAGAGCAGCTTCAGTGACAGACTAATTCACCCTCGATGTGTGAAGGAGAGGTTCCGTAGGTCTTTCCTTCCTGCTGCTGTCAGACTGTACAACGAGAATGTGTAACAGGAACTGCTGAGTCAGCACAAGTGTCACTGATAATTCACTAGTAACTTTGTCACTAGTCACTTTACCTGTTATCAGTACTACTACAGTACTACATATCTGATATTTACTGTTATCAGTACTACTGTATTATTACATATCTGATATTTACTGTTATCAGTACTGCTGTATTATTTCATATCTGATATTTACTGTTATCAGTACTACTACAGTACTACATATCTGTACTACAGTACTACATATCTGATATTTACTGTTATCAGTACTACTACAGTACTACATATCTGATATTTACTGTTATCAGTACTACTACAGTACTACATATCTGTACTACAGTACTACATATCTGATATTTCTGCCTTCCACCGTCACTTTACCTGTTGATATCTTACTGTATTATTCATATCCATCTGATAATTCTCCCATTCAAGTCACTTTACCTGTTGATATTATTTCTGATGTTTATTCTGCTCATATTCTCATATTCTCCGCTGCTAATGTATAATATAGACATCTGTAAATACTCCGAACCAAGTGCAATTATAGCCCAGATTTTCTTATTTTATTTTATTTTATCTTAAATTTATTGTCTATTATCTTAAATAATAGACTTGCAATGTGTGCAATCTGAGTCTTATTTCCTTTCTCTGCTGTAATGTGCAACGATGACACTGTGAGACTAATAAACCTTTATCTTATCTTATCTCTTATCTTCTCTTATCTTAGCTTCTTTATTATGCTAAAGCTAGATTTAGACTAACTTCTTTATTAAGCTAACGTTAGAGGTTCCTCATTCCTACTGCTCTGTAGCCGGTGATGCAACACTGACATTTCCCCACTGTAGCACAAATAAATAATATATAAATAATACATAAATCAGGCTCCAGGGGGCGCCCTTTGAAACCTTTTCTCACTGTTTAGAGCTAACCACAGTCGTACCTGTGCTTCTTCTTCTTCTTTCACCATTTCCAAAGTGTGGACATCTGTGACGTGGAGCTTCTGTTTCCTCCTAAAACAAAAGTGAAGAGTCGTGTGTGAAGAGACACACAACCTCCGACCGGCTCTTTCCCACCCGAGCTGTTTACCATCATGCCCCCCGCCAGCGCGTCTTGTGCCCGGTTACCTGCCAGACGGATCATGCCATCCAGCCCGTCCCAGGCCAGCCCGCGTCACGGATGCGCGCCACCAGGATTGCTCTTCTCAACGCGCGCTCTATTGCAAACAAGGCGTTTACACTGAACGACCACTTCACTAAAGAGAACTTGGATTTTATGTTCATAACGGAGACTTGGCAACGGGAGAACGAGCACCTTCATCTGAGAGAACTATGCCCCCCGGACTGCTCCGTGTTTGGGAGTCCTCGCCTCGCGCGCCGTGGAGGCGGACTGGCGCTGGTTTTTCGTGACTCTTTCTGCTGCAGTTTGATGGATGGAGCTTCATACGACTCCTTCGAGCTACAGATGTGCAAGGTTGGACAAACTCTCCCCTTTTACTGTGTCTTAGTTTACCGACCTCCTGGTACTGCGCGCACATTCCTTGATGAATTCTCTGAGTTTTTAACATCCATTATCAAACTAGATCGCGTTTTAGTCCTTGGGGATTTTAATCTCCATATCGACGATCCCTCTTGTGTGATTGCAGCTGAACTGTTAACGACCATGGACTCTTTCAATTTTGTACAGCACGTTTCTGGCCCCACGCACATAAAAGGTCACACGCTAGATTTGGTCTTCTCATGTGGCCTAAACATTGAAAATATGAGTGTTGATGCATTTCATATTAGTGACCACTGTTGCATTTCCTTCACTCTGTCACGCGTCATGATGCCAACTGTCTCCAATGTTGTTACACAAAAACGCATCATTAGTGAGACAACATTTAGTGATTTCTCTGTCCGATTTGACCCTCGCTCCTTTGTTGTTTGTGATGATGTTGATTCGTTTGTGCAAAGTTTCAACAGCCACTGTGTGTCTATTTTGGATTTGGTAGCACCTGTTAAAGATATTTCAGGATCACATAAAAAAGCCCATCCATGGATGAATGATGACATTTGTAGTTTTAGGAGAAAATGTCGGAAGACAGAGCGTCTTTGGAAAGCCACCAAATTAGAAGTACATAGACTTCATTTAAAAGACCTGATGCTGGAACTGAATGAAATGATAAAGCAGGCTCGCTCATCTTATTTTTCAAACCTTGTGTCAGGCAATAAGAAAAATCCAAAAATCCTGTTTGACACCATTGAAAATCTTTCTGCACCTTCAGCTCCTCTTGTGCCTGTGTACTCACATGAGGACTGTAATAAATTTTTGTCATTCTTCGTAAACAAAGTTCAAGACATTAGGGCAAACGTGAATCTTCCCCTAACCAGTGTTTGTTCCACTAAGTTGTCCCTGGTGTCATCTTGGTCGTCCTTCTCTCCTGTCAGCTTACAGGATGTGAACACTTTAGTGAATAACATGAAGCCTTCCTCGAGCCCGGCTGACATTGTCCCAACGTCACTATTTTTGAAAATGTTCAGTACTGTTGGCTCCTGTGTGGTTAAAATAATTAACCTCTCTCTTTCATCTGCCTCAGTCCCCAGCTACTTCAAGCATGCTGTGGTAAACCCAATCCTTAAAAAGCCCAATCTGGACCCTTCAGAACCTAAAAACTACAGGCCCATCTCCAAACTTCCTTTTATTTCCAAAATTCTGGAAAAAGTAGTGGCATGCCAGCTGACCTCCTTTATCGAACAGCACAATTTGTTTGATCCACTTCAGTCTGGTTTTCGTAAATTACACTCCACTGAAACAGCTCTTATCAAAGTTTCTAGTGATGTAATGATGGCAGCCGATTCCCAACGCTACACAGTTCTTGTACTTCTGGATTTGTCCTCTGCCTTTGACACTGTGGATCATAATATACTTATTGACCGGCTTCAAAATGAGATAGGGCTTTCTGGGTCTGTCCTCCAGTGGTTCTCCTCATATGTCCATGGCAGAACTTTTAACGTTGCTTTAAACAATGTACAGTCAGATGTGACTAATCTGTCCTGCGGAGTGGCACAGGGATCAGTTTTGGGTCCGATTTTGTTTTTATTGTACATTTTGCCACTTGGTAAAATTATTAATCACTTCGAGGATGTATCCTACCATTTCTATGCCGATGACGTCCAGTTGTACTGTTCTTTTAATGACTCTGAGTTCCAGCGCTTGTCATCATTTTTGGAGTGTGTGTCCTCCATTAAAGACTGGCTGGCCACTAACTACTTACAGTTAAATTCCAACAAAACTGAAACGCTCATCTTTGCTCCAGACCATAAGATCCCGCTGATCAAACAGCACCTTGGCTCTCTTGGATCCTCCGTCAAATCCAGCCTCAGAAACCTAGGGGTTGTGTTTGACCAGGCCATGTCTATGGAGACACACTCCAAACAGCTCGTCCGTAACTGCTTTTATCACCTTAGGAACATTGCAAAAATCCGCAATATGTTGTCAAAGAATGATCTGGAAATGATCATTCACGCTTTTATTTCAACAAGACTTGACTATTGCAACTCTGTTTTTACCTGCTTGAATAAGTCTGCACTCAATCAACTTCAAATTGTTCAAAATTCTGCTGCTAGACTTTTAACAGGTGCCCCTCGTAGGTCCCATATCACTCCTGTTCTGTCTGTTCTTCATTGGCTCCCAGTCAAATTCAGGATTGATTTTAAGATCTTAGTGCTGACCTTCAGAGCCTTAAATGGTCAGGCCCCCCAGTACATCCTGAACCTTTTGAGCCTGTACTCCTCTTGCCGTTCTCTCCGGTCCTCTGGCCAGAACCTGCTTGTGGTCCCCAAAACCCATTATAAGACTCGAGGGGACCGGTCTTTTCAGTCTGTTGCCCCCAGACTGTGGAACGCCCTGCCCCTGTCCCTACGTCTGGTCGACTCTGCGGACTCTTTCAAAAAAGGCTTGAAGACTTATTTATTTAAGAAAGCTTTTAGTTGATTGGGTTCTCACTGATGTCACTTTTAAGTACATAAAATGTGTAATGTGTGTAAGTGTATTTTATATTGTTTGTATTTGCCCACTGTCCTGTACAGCACTTTGTGATTTTTATCTGTGAAAAGCGCTTTATAAATAAACTTTACTTACTTACTTACTTACAACATGAGCCACAGAACAACACTTACCTGCATCTGACGACTACACAACACAGAAGTGCTGCCACAAAGAACCCAGACAGAAACCCCACAAAGACCTCCAGCTCGGAGAACCTCTGGAGGATGGTTTCAGGAGTCACTAACAATCACACACAGAATATTATAAATATATTATAAATATTATAAATATATTAAAAATATATTACAAATATTATAAATATTATAAATATATTATAAATATTATATATATTATAAATATATTATAAATATTATAAATATTATAAATATTATAAATATATTATAAATATATTATAAATATTATAAATATGATCTTATTCTGCTGCATTCGAGGCCCAGAGGTTTCCAGCGGATCGCACACCATGGAAACGTCCATCCATTTTCTTCCCTTTAATCCATTTCTGGGTCAGGGGGGTGGCAGTCAGAGATGCCACCCAAGTCTCATAGCACCAGCCCCTCACTGACCCTCTGCAGGTGGTGAGTCCACAGGAGGAGGCTGCTCTCTGAGTGTGAGGATAGCCTTGATCTTTCAGTGGGGGCTTTGGGCAAATTGGGGTTAAGTGTCTTGCCCAAGGACACAACGACAGCAGTCATCAGTGGGAGTCGATGGAGAAGGTGCAGAGGTGGGAATTGAACCCACAACCTTCTGGCCTTAAGGCCAATGCTCTACCAACTGAGCTACTGTCGCCCCTCCTTCATCAGAGCAAAGTGTGAGTCCACACAGATGTTCCTACTCTAGCCCCATGGTACGGACCAGTGGGTTCTACTCTAGCCCCATGGTACGGACCAGTGGGTTCTACTCTAGCCCCATGGTACGGACCAGTGGGTTCTACTCTAGCCCCATGGTACGGACCAGTGGGTTCTACTCTAGCCCCATGGTACGGACCAGTGGGTTCTACTCTAGCCCCATGGTACGGACCAGTGGGTTCTACTCTAGCCCCATGGTACGGACCAGTGGGTTCTACTCTAGCCCCATGGTACGGACCAGTGGGTTCTACTCTAGCCCCATGGTACGGACCAGTGGGTTCTACTCTAGCCCCATGGTACGGACCAGTGGGTTCTACTCTAGCCCCATGGTACGGACCAGTGGGTTCTACTCTAGCCCCATGGTACGGACCAGTGGGTTCTACTCTAGCCCCATGGTACGGACCAGTGGGTTCTACTCTAGCCCCATGGTACGGACCAGTGGGTTCTACTCTAGCCCCATGGTACGGACCAGTGGGTTCTACTCCAGCCCCATGGTACAGACCAGTGGGTTCTACTCTAGCCCCATGGTAAGGACCAGTGGGTTCTACTCTAGCCCCATGGTACGGACCAGTGGGTCCTACTGATGGTCGTGGGTTGGGACTTGGTCCTGGTACGTACCAGTGGGTTGGGACTCGGTCCTGGTAAGTACCAGTGGATCCTGCTGATGGTCCTGGTACGTACCAGTGGGTTCTGCTGACTCCGTCTTGGTACGGACCAGTGGGTTCTGCTGACTCGGTCCTGGTACGTACCAGTGGGTTCTGCTGACTCGGTCCTGGTACGGACCAGTGGGTTGGGACACGGTCCTGGTATGGACCAGTGGGTTGGGACACGGTCCTGGTACGTACCAGTGGGTTCTGCTGACTCGGCCCTGGTACGGACCAGTGGGTTGGGACTCGGTCCTGGTACGGACCAGTGGGTTGGGACTCGGTCCTGGTACGTACCAGTGGGTCCTGCTGATGGTCCTGGTACGTACCAGTGGGTTCTGCTAACTTGGTCCCGGTACGTACCAGTGGGTTGAGACTCGGCCCTGGTACGTACCAGTGGGTTGGGACTCGGTCCTGGTACGGACCAGTGGGTTGGGACTCGGTCCTGGTATGTACCAGTGGGTTGGGACACGGTCCTGGTACGTACCAGTGGGTTCTGCTGACTCGGTCCTGGTACGGACCAGTGGGTTGGGACATGGTCCTGGTACGGACCAGTGGGTTGGGACACGGTCCTGGTACGTACCAGTGGGTTGGGACTCGGTCCTGGTACGGACCAGTGGGTTGGGACACGGTCCTGGTACGGACCAGTGGGTTCTGCTGACTCGGTCCTGGTACGGACCAGTGGGTTGGGACACGGTCCTGGTACGTACCAGTGGGTTGGGACTCGGTCCTGGTACGGACCAGTGGGTTGGGACACGGTCCTGGTACGGACCAGTGGGTTGGGACTCGGTCCTGGTACGGACCAGTGGGTTGGGACTCGGGTCCTGGTATGGACCAGTTGGTTGGGACTCGGTCCTGGTACGGACCAGTGGGTTGGGACACGGTCCTGGTACGGACCAGTGGGTTGGGACTCGGTCCTGGTACGGACCAGTGGGTTGGGACACGGTCCTGGTACGGACTAGTGGGTTCTGCTGACTCGGTCCTGGTACGGACCAGTGGGTTGGGACACGGTCCTGGTACGGACCAGTGGGTTGGGACTCGGTCCTGGTACCTACCAGTGGGTTGGGACACGGTCCTGGTACGGACCAGTGGGTTGGGACTCGGTCCTGGTACCTACCAGTGGGTTGGGACTCGGACACGGTGAAAGTGTCCCGGGCCTGTCCTGCTCGGTTCTGGGACACACACTGGACTTCTGTCGTGTTGTGTCCTCTGAGGACGAAGCTGCTGTTGATGGTGTCTCCTGTCACCACGGTAACCAGCGAGTACTCGTGCTGGTCCTGCAGAAGGCTCCATGAGACCGAGGGAACAGGAGAGGCCCGAGAGACGCACACACAGCTCAGGACGTCTCTGTGGCGGACACAGCCCGAGGACCTCAGGATGTGGGGCCTCCCTGGAGAGAGTATAGAATTATATTAATCTATAGAATTATATTAATCTATGGAATTATTAATCTATAGAATTATATTAATCTATAGAATTATTAATCTATAGAATTATTAATCTATAGAATTATTAATATATAGACTTATTAATCTATATAATTATATTAATCTATAGAATTATATTAATCTATAGAATTATTAATCTATAGAATTATTAATCTATAGAATTATATTAATCTATAGAATCATTAATCTATAGAATTATTAATATATAGACTTATTAATCTATATAATTATATTAATCTATAGAATTATATTAATCTATAGAATTATTAATCTATAGAATTATTAATCTATAGAATTATATTAATCTATAGAATTATTAATATATAGAATTATTAATCTATAGAATCATTAATCGATAGAATTATTAATCTATAGAATTATATTAATCTATAGAATTATGAATCTATAGAATTATATTAATCTATAGAATTATTAATCTATAGAATTATATTAATCTATAGAATTATTAATCTATAGAATTATATTAATCTATAGAATTATATTAATCCATAGAATCATTAATCTATAGAATTATTAATATATAGACGTATTAATCTATATTATTTATTTCTTTTCAAACACAGGAGAGGTTGATTTTTTCATTTCAGACCCAGGTTTATGTTAGCTTA